CAGATGTATGTATATACGTAAATACTTACATACACAATCATACACATATACAATCTGATTAGACAGGTATGAAATTCAGAGTAATAAGAAGTAGTATCCTTAATAAAGATTTCATAAGGGAGTGATGTTTGAGATGACATTGAAAGATTTTAATAAGGAGAGATTGAAAGAGGGTAGGCTTTGGATCACTTTGCAAAAATCTGATGTATATGTTCAGAAATATTTCTTTGCATGAAATTAAATTATCTTGACATAGTAAGTATTAGATTAATCTTTTTCTCCCTGGGAGGGGAGTATGAAAGTTATTAAAGTTATTTTGGGAAAAAAAAGTGCTTGTTTTTCAAGAATAATTGTTTTATGTTTTGTCTTTTTAACTCGATTGTAAGCACCTAGGACAGAAAACATGCCTAATATGTATTTGAGTTCCCTACAGTACAAAAAACTCAAAGAGATGGCAAGTGGGTATTTGTTGATTGCTTTCTGGATTAAACATTTTACAATTAGGGAACATATTAGTGAAAGCACAAATCTAGAAAGGAAAAAGGAAAGGATATAGAGGTACTGCAGTTGAAAGTACCTTCACATTTGGTTTTTATAGATCAGAAAAATGATTACAGATCACATTTCTGAGATCACTGATGAATTCTAGTTCTCCAAGGAACAAAGAACATATTTCTTTCCTTCTTTTATTTTTTTTGAACTGTAAATTGAATTTTGCTGAAATGTCCTCAGAAGTAGGACTTTTAGATAAGAGTGGAGTTTACTATGCAGCATACTGCTCATAAGTCCTGGAGCTCCATTACCTCAGAATATATATCACTCAGCACATTCGCCTGATTAAAAACAGCTTTGGTAACTTTACTAGATGTTCAGTGGTCTACAAAAATGCAAAGCTAACATTTTTAAGAGACTGATGAAGGTGGAATAGATGACAGCAAGCTGCGGGGAATCAAGGGCTGCTATGAGTTTTACAAGTGGCAAACTGAGAGGAAGGAGTGGGATTCTGAGACGGTGGAGTTAAATTTTGCTGAAAACAACGAAGACAATGAGTTTCAGATTTTAAAAACCACTAGAGAACTTCTGCACTTTTGGCTTTTTTTCTAGTTTAAAAGGTATGAATGCCTTTACAAAAAATGCCCTCATAATATTGGTTGGTATTGACGAAAGATAAAATTTTTACTTTCCATTCTGATTTTTTTTTTACTCAGTTGTGTACATTAAGAATTCCTTTGTGTCCCCCACTTCAGTTAAGATACTAGTGATTTAATAATGAAGAGATGAAATAAGTATTTAGGAATGCTAATGAAATGAGTCAGGAATCTTAAATAACATATTTCTCTAATATAATGTGGTGGCTTTAAAAACATTATTTTCTTTTGTTCAAAGTGGTCAGTGGTCAAAGAATAACTCTCAACAAAATGGTTTTATCTTTTTTGAAATGTCAGTGGAGTTTGTATTGAAAAGTCAAAACTACTGTAAAGACGTAAGAAAATCGTGTCTCCTTTTGTAACAAACCTTGTGTTATTCAATTATAATTAAATTTTGGTCATGAAAAGAAGCATAATAGTTTGGGAATAGTTTATTTATAATATTAACAAGATTGCTAGGGAAATGATCAGACAAATAAATGATCTAAAACATCTTTAAAACTGCCTTAGTAATAGTCATATCAAATAATTTTTCTAATGATAGTCAAACAAATAATTGTGCTAATTTCTCTGTAAACTACAAATTGCACTTGATGTTGCTGTACTTGTTTATCCACTTGAACCATGGAATGATGGTGCTGAAGGGCAGGGACCCAAGTGCTCATCTGGTGACCAAATAGATATTTGATCATTGAAGGAAGGAGACAAGTCCCCCCAAAACATGCATCTGAATGTAGTGAAATATCTAAAAATCTATCCTGTAGTTTGAACTTCTGATTATTCATGACAGTTCTCACATCTATTCCATGCTCTGCATTCCAGCTCCTTCCCGATATTATGTTTATTAATCAAAAAAAAAAAAAAAAATCTTACATACAGCATCTGTCCTGTATGAGAGGTACTGAACCAGGCACTATGAGGTGCACGGAACATTGTCCCTGCCACCAAGGAGCTCTCCATTTACAGTTAGAAGTAAGACCCACGCAGAAGAATGGAGGCATAAAATAGGACCAGATGTTAACTAGTGCCCTGGGAGAGCAAAGTGCTAAAGAATGTTGTAGAAGTGGAAAGGGGATTGGAGGATCATTTCTAGCTGAGATTTAAAAAAAACAAACAAACAATTTTTCTGTTTACTTGCACTGAGTTTTAGGGAAATCTCTCAAGATTTCTGAGCCTCTGCTTTCTTCTTAGTAAATGTTTGGTAAAATAATAACCTATACTCCATGACTGGTTTGAAGGATCACCATTCTAAAATGCTTGTAATCGAAGATTTTGAAATTCAAGATGTAATTCAGTTCAAGGAGAGGCTGGTATTTGGCAAGCAGAGAACAGTTCTATCTGTCACTACTGTCAGGGCGCTTTTTTCCTCTGCAGGGTCTTAATACTTGTCTGAATTTTAGGGGCAATTTTTTTTCATCTTCCTTTTTATTAGTAAAAAACAACTTTAAATGATTAACTGATTGTACAGATAGAAATTGTTACAGAATTTGGAATGATTTTTACTGACAAGTAGACCCTCAAAATTTGGGGTGGATTTAATTTTATTTCAAGTAGCATTACTGTGAATTTAAATCTGTGGTTTTCTAACCTTATATGCAGAATAGCAAATTTTTTAAAGTAAGTTTGAGGTAGGCATGAAAAGTTCATATATGGAAAATAAATGATTATTCTGTTATATATACCAACTACTAAAGAATTCATTGGGACTCCAGAGGAGAACAATAAAGAAACTTAAAAATTGGAAAATAGTCTCTGGAGGACATTTAAAGTTAGGAGAGTTGACTTAAGAGGAAAGGAAAATGTCCTGTGAATGAAAATTAAGTGTTATGAGATGCCGTTAAGGGAGGTACTGGAATCTCCTTTTCTGGAAATGTTTAAAAACAAGATAGATCTTCATCTCTCAGGAGAAGTGTTGAAATTCAGTCCTGCCCAGAGGCAGGAAGATTAAATGGATTATGCCTGTGTGGTCTCTCAAGTCATTGGAAGAGCCCTAGAATGCAGTAAATATTCCACACTGTTGGCTGAAACTGTTGTTTCATAGCCGTTTATTTGAAACTTGGTTATTATAAGACCAGAGTGAATGTTTGCATAAGTAACAAAATTGAATTTGGATGTAGGGTTGTTGATGTTAAGTTGTGTACATCGAATCAGTTTTTAAAGCATCAAAATATATGTAATGCTGAAATTGTTTAGATCATAACTTAGTCTTCTATGATGTTAAAAGTACCTGCTTCTCTGCAAGGTCTCAACGCCATTAGTCATTCAATAAATGATTATAAAGCAACTACTATGAATGTTGCAGGCTTCAGAGATGAATTAGATATGGTTCCTGCCTTCAAGGAATTTGGTCTACAAGGGAAGATAAAACAGAAACACAGATCATATACAGATAAGTGAAAAATAGAATAATTGGGATAGGAGCCATAGAAAAGGATTAAACAGAGTTGTGAGATTTCAGAGAAGAGAGAGATAATTCCTTTGGATTTAACCAAGGAATGCTTCCTGGAAGAAAACTGTATTGACCTGGGTCTTTGGGAGTGTGAAGTATGAGTATTTTGAAGGGTGGAAATGAAGAGGAGAACAAGGACAGAAGTGAGACTGTACCTAGTAATTCTAAGGTAAGGACAGATTCCACTGGAGCATATAAGGAACTTGGGGGAAATGGGCTAAAAGGGTCTCGTTGTGGCCAGTCTCAAATGGCAGGCCAGAGAGCGTGGGTTCTCTTTGCTCAGTGCTTAAGAGCCCCTGAAAATTAAGCATTAAAGAATCCCTGTCCATGGGAGGTTTGTAATTTGCTATTTTTGACTGCAAGGGAAAAAAGGGAATAGCAAGGAGCCCAGAAAAGTGGCTGCTGAATCATCTGAGCCAGAGTTTGCTGAGTGGTGTACTGAGAATCACTAGTTTCAAGGCATTTTATTGGGTGTTACTCAAGAAATAGTCTCCTCACCAAAATTAATTGAGGAAATAAAAAAGTTAAACAATTAAATGGTTGCTTTTCTGGAGAACTTCTTAGAGCCTTTAATACTGAGAATTGCATTGATAATCTCAAATAGGGTAAACTGTGGATCATTTCCAACATGACTTAGTCTTTGTTTCATGGATTATTTCCTGCAGCTGCTGTTCCTTGGGACATACTTTGGGGAACATTGCTCAATGTATTTGATAATCATGTTTGGAACACAAATGCTGGTAATATGCATGGAAAACAGTGATTAGATGGGAGTCATGGAGAAAGCATCCACCACTCCTGGTATACAGTAAACATTCTGTAGGAATACAGAAAATGAATGTATGCAAGAGGGAATTATTGATTTATTAACACAACTTGGCTGGAGGTTGCATGCTGAAACGAGAGGGAAAGGAGTCCAAGATGGGAATGTGGGGAGTTTTGAGCTTTAACATTGCTGGAAATAATGGTATGGAAAGCTAGGAGAAGGAACTGGTCTACATGAAAATTCATTATTTTACTGTTACTTGAGAAGCTGTAGCAGATCCAGCTAGAAGTTTTCAGTGGATGCTGGAACTGTGGCCTTGGGAGAGAAGTTACTGTTTTTTTCTCATTAAATGTATCATTTAAAAAATTTTTTTCCTCTTAGGATGTCTGTTTGAATTTTGGATAAACAGTAATTTTCATGTCCAACTTACTCTAATATGGGAAGGTAACTGTAAATTTAGTCTAAAAGAAACTTCATGGTTAACAAAAGCACCAGACCTATAGTGATTTTTTAAATCAGGTTTTTTAAATCTCATCTTCATCAATGTATTTTTTTTTTTGCAGTCTGATTTACACATAAGAAATTAATTAATCTTGAAGTTTAATATTGTGTTCTTTCACTCAGGTATTTGCCTTTGACTATTGCTTTTGGTCCATGGATGAATCTAACACTACAAAATATGCGGGTAAGTTGACTCTGCGCTTGACAGTCGGGCCACTAGCCTCTTCTTCCATTAGGTCCACTTTTAAAAATTATTTTGGAGCTTCGTTTTTCCCATGTGATTCACACTCATTCTTCCCAATTCTAGCACATGGGTTTAGAAGGCAATAAGATTTGGGGCCGGCCCTGTGGCGCACTGGAGAGTGCACCGCTTGTGAGCGCGGTGGCGCTCCCGCCGAGGGTTCGGATCCCATGTGGAGACCGGTTCCCACTCACTGGCTGAGCATGGTGCGGGCGCGACACCGAGGGTTGCGAGCCCGTTACCGGTCAGTAAAAAAGACAAAAAGGAAAAAAAAAAATAAGATTTGGTTTCAGAATCTGGCTCTCTGCCACTGGCTTGCTGAGAAGCCTTGTATTTTTTTTTTTTTTAACATCATTAAGCTTCAAGTTCTTCACCTATAAAGGGAGTTATTTGTATCTTCAGAGATGTTCCAAGGAGTCGAGATAATGAGCAACCACTCGAGCCATAAGTGGTCACTGCTATAATGATCACATGAAGAAGAGATTTCATTTGTCATGCCTTCCCTGTCACTAACTTTCAGGGAACCCCCTGCTCTGTTTGTATAAGCAAAGCGCAGGGTTGGTTCAAGGACCCACCCAGGTCCTGAGTGTCCTAAGCAATTAGTGCTCACAAAGACTAAAACTAAGTGTTCCTCAGGGAAACATTGCCTCCTAGCCCCACATTTTGCTAGTGTTCTGTCCTTGAGGCATTTTATCCCCATTCCATTCAACACAAATTACTGCTATTTTATTGTTTGCCATTGTAGGTGAATCTTAGAGTCAATCACAATTGCTTTAGTTCAAGAAGGAAGCATTTGTTTTAATGGAAGAAGTCTTTGGTTCCTTCTCTTCTGATTATGTCTCCCATTTTCTTAGATATTTCATCTTTTTTTAATTGACAAATAACCATTGTATTTGTCATGTACGACATTATGTTTTGAAATATGTTTACATGATGGAATAGCTAAATATAACTAATTAACATATGCATTCACATTTTTGGTGGTGAGAACACTTAAAATCTATTCTTAGTGATTTTCAATATAATAGTTTGCTATTAACTGTAGTCACCATGCTGCACAAAAAAGCTGTTGTGCTAGATATTTCATCTTAATGTTTTCTCCTTATTTCTACTTATAAAAGCATCAGCTGAGTGACTTTCTCATTTAGTTAAAACAAAACAAAAATGAGAGGAAGATGTAGGTCTTAAAAGATTTGGAGGTAAAAAGGAAGTTACTTGCTTGGAAATCAATTTCTTATTTATTGATAAGTTTTTCTTTGCCACATAAAGCAAACTTGTTGAGAAATTATTTGATATGTAATTTTTTCTAAAGTTAATAATCTTGAACTAGGAAAATTCTTTCAGTTGCTCACGTTGTGTAAATTAGCCTTTCCAAACATCATTTCTACTTTTTCAGCAACATGTTTTGTTAAACTGAATAAGTAATTCTTAATGTTGGTTGAAATTAATTTGTCCTTTTATTGCCCTTTGGTACGTTAGATAATAGATTCTACAGTCTGGATCCGTCTGTCTTGACTGTTAACACTATGTGTATTTTTGTGCTCGGTGAGTGCTTTAGGATTTAAATCAATAACAAAAGTAAAACATTTCCTATTGTAGCAGAGACAAATAGGGACAAATGCTGTGTCTATACAAAGCCCAGTTTCTCACCCTGTTCAATTGATGTTATTCAAGATGCAGCCAGATAATTTACCTGAACTGGAGCCCTTTCAGATACTTTCCAGGACTCTTCATCACCTACTACATAGAATCTATACTCCTTGAACTACGATTAAGGTCCTTTATCATATAGCTCCAGTCTATCTTCCCACCTTCTGTCCTGTGACACTCCCCGCCACCCATTCTGTACCTCAGCCCAATGTCTATTGCTGGTTTCCTCTTATATAACCCAGGAAGCCAGAAAGTTGCAGAATAATTCCTCAGGTATTCATGAAATGCCTACTGTGTGTGCAGCCCAGGAAGCCCTTGAAAAATCCAAAAATAAGTTGGGAAGCAAAAGAAATGCATATCAAATTTAAATATAAATTTTACTGGTTTTAAGTGCTATAGAAAATTCAAGAACAGACAAAATCTGGAAAGGCCAAAGTTGCCTGGGGAGGCTTTATAGAGGAAATGGACTGAAATTGGGCAGAAAAGTTAAGCATAGGGTTTAGCCAAAGGGGGGGAGCATAGAAGTATCCAGGCACAAGGAAGCAACATGGTATCAAGGAAAGCACATGATGTTGGACCTAGGTTTGAATCTCCAGATCTCTGCTTTGGTTCTCTTAGACACTTTCTTTAATTTCTCTGAGCTACAGTTTCTTTTCTATGAAATGGAAATGATAATACCTATGTCACATGATTGTTGTGAGGGGTTAATTAGGCAACTTTATGTGCTGATTAATGGAGGATGACCATAAATGATATTTCATTTGGCTTTTCCATAAGGGAAGATGGAAAAGTGGAATGAGCAAGGTGGTAGCACTGGCTTGAACAGAATGTGCATCTTGGGGGGGATCGCTGTGAGAGACCTATTTGTACAGGTTGAGTGAGGCCAGATAATAGAAACTTCTAAAAGCTAAACTAAGTTTAGATTGATATGATGAAAAATAAGGGCTCTTAGAGTGTTGTGGTTAAACTAACTAAGGGACGACTGTTTTCTCTTTTTTTCTATATCTTCTGGAATCTCATTCTCCATGTTACCCCTAGAGACCACTCTAGCATTGTGCAGTATATCACTCATGTTCCTGGATATAGGACACACTTTTTTTTTTTAAACCAGAAATAACTTCATTAAATACAGATGATAAAATTCAGTTGGGTAACTTTAGATTTCTGTGCCTCTTCATTACAAATAGTATGTTCAGAAATAATAAAAAAGATTAAAATGATTTTAAACATACTAGCAGCCTAAAATTTGCTCAATTTTAGGTCATGTGATCACATCGAATATCATGTTACAGTTAGCCCTGAAATAGGGATTTCCCAACTCTTAGAGCAATGTCCGCTTACAAAATTTTGGGAGAAATTTTCTTATTCTTTAGATATCCCCATTATTATACAAATGCTGTGACATGCCCTACCCGCCTTAGCAAAAAGTAAAATTCTGGCTTGCTGTTCTCTCAGATTTTCTTCTACTGTAAATAATATGCCTAGTATATGTGTGATTAGTAGATTAGCTGATTAGTTTCCATACTAATTTGATTTCTTTTCTCTTCATTAAAAAAAAAAAGCAATTCCTTCTTAATTGTGAATAGAAGCATTAAGATAGAAGCAGTCACTCTCTGGTGGGAAATAGGGGAAATGGAGAAGGGGAAGCAAATACTTCCTGAAGCTAACTTATTTGTCAGGCTCAATTAATAATGGCATCATTGATACTGAATCAGGCTCTCAACGCAGCTCTCAAAATGGGGGGTGGGGGCAGGAGAGAGATGAGTGTGTGGACCCAGTGAGCAAAGAGAAGCACGGCTCTCAGTGTTGTGCGGAGCGTCAAGTGTAAAAGCTACAGCCAGAGCCCCCACTCTCCGGCTTGCCAGTTTAGGAACACACAGTTCTCTAGTATGTATAATGGAATGTGGTGGATTGGTTGGAGCAGTTAAAGAATGTGAGCTATAGGTCAGACTGTCTGGGTTCAAATCCTGGCTCCACTACCTCCTATCTGTGTGAGTCAGGAGAGTCAGTGAATCTCACTATGCCTCTGTTTCCTCATCTGTTAAATAAGGATAATAATAGTTCTTATCTCATAGGGTTGATTTGAGGACTAAATGACCTGTTCATGTTAAGTACTTAACCCAGTACCTGGCACATAGGAAGCACTCACTTAACATCCATTATCGTCTTTATCACTGTCTCATTGTGACAGTAGTTAGGGCAGTAGTAGCATCAGTACTTTGGAAAGAAAATGCGTTGGTTTTTTGCCATGAACTGCTAGACTTTGGATGAGATAACCTCTGTGGGTCTCTGTTTCCTCCTGAAAGGAGGAGATACGCCTAGGCCTAGAATGATCTCAGACCCCCTAGCTCCGACAAAACATGAATTAGCCATTTTATGTTGGCCACACAGCTGTTCTGGTGGACTCGTCAGAGGCAAATCAAAGGCTTGTTTGTTAAGCCTTTTGCACTGCATTGAATCATGCTTTGAGGCATTTTACATTTTAAAAATATCATATCTTCCTCCTATTACCTTTTGGCTAGGCAGTCGTAATAGTTTTTGTCTGACAGATAATTGAGTCTGAAGCAAAAAACCTTTGTGCTAAAAGAAAACCTGAAGAATTAGGCACCTAAAGCATGTCATTTCTATGTAAACCCACATCTCCCCCCAACCTCATGTATACATGCACATGTATATAGTTCCACATTTAAGATGATAAAGTTATTATATTAGAGTTGTTAAAACACAGAATTACAACAAATTTAGTTTAAAAATCTTAATTGGTACACTAAAGTAGCTCTTGTGCCAGTCTTACCCTTACTGCCTCTACTCCCATCCTGACCAATGTCTTTGTTCCCCTTGTATTCCTGGATAGCTCAACTTAATATGTGTGTGTTTGGGGGGCAAAGGTGGGTTCTGGCTAGAGTGGGTTTGGCAGGAGTTTGGGAAGGGCTTGGGGAAAGATGGAGGATGAAGTCTCCTACCCCCTTCCCCAACTCCAAGCCAGAGAAATCTGAGAGGAAGTGCGCCTACCCTCACTGCTGTGGGTCTTGCAGATATGCCAAAATGAGGGTGGGTGGGATGGGAGGGTGCTTGGCAGAGCATCCCCCAGGGTGGCTCCCATAAAGCAATGAAGTTCCCCTGCCTGGGGGATGGCAAGACAGGGGAGAGGGTTGTGCTGGGGACTTGGGGGTTCCTCATGTACAGCTGTGTGTATTCAGGGGTGTTCTCTGGTACCCACTGTGGACATCTGTGTGTGTGTGAACCTCCCTTACCCATACCCTGCATGACCTGTGATTCTGCAGATACCACCG